CTTCGCGTCATGTGAACACCGTACGAACTACCTCTTGATCAATGTGAATAGACGTCTCACGTATGAGTACCGATATGCTGTGAATTTCATGAGCTCTTGTATTTGTTGCTTGAGGCCAAACAACTGTTTAAGTTTGGAGGAATTTGATCAGTGGCTTTTACACCATTATTTACCGTTAATTTAAGTTATCTTTTCTTTTTATTATTAAGCATTTTACTTCATGTTTCCGCATTTTATGCATTGGTTGTATGTTTTAGTGTTCGTAGGCTCAGAGGAATAAATTGGGGCAAATGGGGGCAAAAAAGGGCAAAATTTAGAGTTTTGGAGAAAGCCAAAAACCCTGCTAAAGGAGGCCTGACACGGCCACCAGTGTCGCCTGACACAAGCCGTGTCAGCAGGTCTGGGACCTGGAAAAAGAAAATAAAATATCAGAGGGCCAACACGGGTGACCGTGTCACCTGACACGGGCCGCGTTGGCCAGTGACATTGTTTTTTCTGATTTTTCTGATTTTTCACTATGTGTGACACGAAGGGGGCGTTTTGGGCATTTCCAACCGAGACCAATGGATTTTCACTATTTAGATGAGTTTTCACGATGAATTAGGGGACCTTTTTTTGGACAAAAAGAAATTGACGATTGAAGATTGAAGCCTATGCAATTGTTGGAGAAATTGAAGATCAAAGTTCACCATGAATTTGTAATGTCTAATTTTTATTCTGAATTTTTTTGAACAATATGAGTAGCTAAGTCCCCCAATACTAGGGGTGTCCCAGATTTGATTTTGTAATGACTTTGAATTCCTAATTTCAGCAATTTATTTGTTTTTCATATTCAATTTGATCATACAAGGTTTTTATTGCTTCCTTTGTCGGACCAATAAGGATTGATTTACGGTTAATGATTAGCTAGACCATAATTGTTAAGGTTTTTATATGATTAAACTATAGTAGATATCATCTAGGAGTAGGGATACCCTATAGTTACTGCTTTAATCTTGATAAAACAAAGGCTTGATTTCGTCATAATTCTCTAAGGACTTAGGATTTATGATGAATGTTCAAAGGTTTTCCCACTAAGGAATTAGGGAAAAATAAACTAGAGATCTGGTAATTGAATGTCATGAACTTGTTGAAGAAATTAGGATTCAAGGTTATTACAGGGAAAATTACACACTTTACCCTAGCATGCTCCTCATATCTATGAAAAAGTCAATTTATATTTCTGCTTCTTTTTACTTATCATTAAGTGACAATTTCCAAATCAAACCCCAAATTAAGTTTTTGTTTAATTGAATCATGCATTAAACTCGATACTTACATGCAGTCCTTGAGATCGATACTTTGGGATTCCCCATTATTATTATATTGATAAAATAGTACACTTGTTATTTTACCGATCAACAACATATAAGTGATACTGGTTTTTCAAACATCATTTCTAACCACATACATGTTTCTTTTTCCACTTGATGTGACGTGCCTTCCATCTGCAAACTTGATCACTTAACCAATTTATCTAACTTGGTGAACCAATTTTTATTACCAGTCATGTGGTTACAACATCCTACCACTTATTAATTTGTTCATTACTCGACTGAGTATTGGCCATGAGTAGCATATCATCAGAGTCACATTCTCTAGCATGTGCATATTGCACTTCTTCATTATATTTTTCTCTTGGTTCCTTCTTCCTTTGATAGTCTCGAGCATAATGACCAAATTCTTGACATTTGTAGCACTACACCTTTTTCATGTCAATTTTCTCATTTGCATACTTGTTGATCGTGTCTTTCTTGGTGGATTCACCGTAATTCTTTGAATTCTTGCTTGACTTTTCATCTTGTTGGTGAGTAACACTAATCTTGAGAAGAAATCTGCAACAGATTAATCTTTTTTCATCTGTGTTATCTTAAACTTTTTTTCAGCATCTACAACTTGTCCCTCTTTAGTTTTTCGTCTCCACCGTACAAGTTTTTCAACTTGTGTCATGCTCCTTTGGAAATTTCTTCTTAAATGATCTTCTCGAACACATTCATACCACACATTGATGAATCAAGAAAAGAGTTTTTTCATCTTTCTTCCTTTGTTCCTGGTGCACAACCTTATGAATATCACTTGCATTCACCTCCAAATAGGTACTTCATAACACACGATTTCAGCCAATCTTGAAATTTGAAGATAACCTTCATTTGCGCAACCCACCTCTCGTAGTTCTCTTCTTTGAACACTGATAGATTCACTGAAAATTGAGTTATGTTGCATTTTCGTTTGTTATTATAGATTCACTATGAATCGCAACTTGGGCTTGTTGATACCAATTTGTTGGAACAATTAAGATTTTCAAGAATTTGAAGAAGAAGAAGAAGAGAGAAGAGATAAAATTGTATTGCGAAAAGAGAATTTCATTGAAAAAAGTTATTTTTTTTACATCATAACATGTCTATTTTTGGGCGCAACCAAACACATTTTTACAAACTACAATATTCGACTTAATCGAGTACTTACTTGCACATTTTGACACATAGATAATATTCAACCCTATCGAATACAACTCAATACTACTTTAACTTACTTCGATTATAGTGTCTCTAACACCTTCAACTAAATTGAATACAACTATGTCAAATATAACTTCTTACTAATAAATTAACATTCTAACATATAACTAGAGTAAAATAAAAAAATTCTATATATTTGTATAGCTCCTCTACCCTCTTTCGAAGAGTCAACATCTTCTTCATTTCTCTTTTTTTTTTTTCTTTTCTTTTTGTGTATTATCAAAGTTTTAAAAATACAAATACAAATACAAATGTAATAATGTGACATTTGAGAAATCAATTTATTTTTATACACTATAAATATCATCAATACTATAGTAATAAAGAGGGAAAAAAAATGGAGAGAATCTTCTTTAACTAAGACTTACCTTCCCATTTCTCCAAAAAAAAAAGACTTACCTTCCCAAAAAAAGAAATCACACTTTTCCTTTTAATATTGCAAGTTTTACAAACGATAAAAAAACAGAAATCAACGTGATTACTAGTTGCAAACCAATCACGAGGTAAAGTCACGTGGAAGCATTATTTTAATAAGATTGAATAGATAAGGACGATATATCTTCCGAACACTATTATAAATTATTTTTATTTTTTTAATATATTTAACTATTAATATATTTAGTTCATATATGAATCAAATATTTTTATTATTAAAATATTAAAAAATAAAAATTATTTATAATAGTTTTTAAAATATTAAAAATTAAAAATTATTAAAAATTATTTTAAAAAAATGGGATAACCTATAGTTACAGTAAACATAATTAATACTCGTGTCGACCTCATTTTCACCGAAAAAATTCATTGCATTAGAACCACTTTAACACAAACGGTCCAGATGAAGTGTTTGACTTTGTTCGGTTGAAGTATATTAATAGTAGCACCAGCTTGGTACTTGCTTCTTTATGTTCTTCCAAGGGTGATATTTTTTGTCTTTTGTTAATGGAATTTCCCATTAAAAAAATCTTGCATGGAGTTCAATTTTCTACTCCATCCACCTGTCGCTATTTATAATATTATATTACATAATTTATTTATGTGTATTAAAGAATAATTGATGATGTAATTGTTATATATATTTCATGTGTAACTATTAAAAAATTTAATTTGTTATATACTAGTAGTAGTATGACTTAACTTTTTATCTTTCAAAATAATAATAAAAAATGTTATAAATATAATTTAAAAAGATAAATTGATAAATTTCGAAAACTTGTAAAAAAAAATTTATTTGAAAATAAATTAAAATAAAAAATATCTTGTAATTAGAGATGGTGGAAATTTAATTATAATTAATTCAGTTAAATATCTTGTAATTAAACATGTTTAATGTTCTTCTAATTTTAGGTATTTTTATTTTTCGTCTCCTTAAAAATTGTTAAAAGATCATTTTTTTTAAATTAAAAATTTTAATTTCTGTTTTTTTCTATTAAAATCGTTGTTAAAATTATCGATAATTCAGTCTTTAAGTAATAAATTGTTGTAAAAATCGTCACTAATTCAATCATTAAATTATAAAAATTGTTGTTAAATTGCAGGAGTGACAAAAAGGTTAAAATTCTTAATTTTAAAAAAACAAATCTTTAATGAATTTTTTTAGATGAGCAAAAAGTAAAAATATTATATTTTAGATTTAACTCTTAATTTAAATAAAAAATATTAAATATTGTAAAATGGTATGTTAATCTCGTGTCAAGGTAGGTGTAGAAAAAGAATAATATATAATTTATTTTATTTGTCTCATTTTATATGTTACATTTTAATTTACATAAATTTTTAAGTGATTATTTATTTCAATTTGAATCATAAAACAAATTTTATTATATAATACTCTTATTAACATTTTTCTTGTTTCATAAAAATGTTACATTTTTATATTTTTCTCATTTTAAAATAATTATCACTTTAAATTATCAATATATTTATTTTTTGATAATACATTTTTATTTATCAAATTTTATTCTATTTAATTATTCTAGTAACTACAAAATCAATTATAATATTATAATAATTAGTCTTAATTAAATCACTAAAATGAATTCTATTTTTTTTAAAACTACATAAATATAAATGTGACATTTAATCTGTATCAATCGTGATGTAGTAGTTAATATAATAATTAAAAATAAAAAATAAATAAACAATAATATTTTATTAAAATTTTAATAAGTATTTTTAGTAATTTCAAAATAGCAAATAATTTTAAAAAATAAATACATTAAAACCTTTATAATTCATGACAAGACACATAAATATAAATCCACATCACATCACCACACAATTCCAATCAAGTACTTACTCACAACAAGCTACTTTTCTATCCTCGCTTCCTAGTAGTAGCTAGGTAGCTACTAGCCACCCAATTAACTTAACTTCCTCTATAAATACAACCTATCTTCACTATTCTTTTCTATTACTCACACAAATTATAATACTTTCAACATGAAGAGGCAAAGAGGTGCAAGTGTGAGTAGTCTTAATAACAACCCCAAGAATCCTCCTCCCAATGTTGAAGATGTGGTAGCAACAATGGAGAAGAAAAAAGGGAAGAAAGAGGAGGGAGATGAACAAAAAGTGAGTGCGGTGATGGAAAAGAACAAGGAAATATTCATCAAAGAAATGGGTGAGGAAACATCAACAATAAGAGAGGGTGTGAATAGTAATAATGTGATGAGTTGGAATAATAGGGAAGAGTATATGCCATCATGGTTAGGAGGTAGTACTATTGTGGATGAACAAATGTCATGGGGTTCAACATGGTTTCCTGGTTGGGACATGGATTTCATGATGGGTGAAGCTTTTAATTCTCTTTATAGTGATGTTGTTTGGGATGATGATATTTGGAATCTCAAAAATGAAATTCCAATTCCATTACATGGAAAAAAGTTTGAGCTTGAGTAGAGGGAAGTAAGTACTACAACAACAACAACAACATGTTTTCATGTTTTTTTTCACCTAGTTAAGAATCAAGTTTCACAATTTTCATGTTAATTTTATGTATATGTGTGGAATTTTAACTAGTTGTTTTCAATGTTAAATAACTAACTTATCAATAATGCTCTCTAATGAACTTTGTTAATAACGTTAGATAGTAACTTTTCAGAGTAAAGGTAAAAAAATCACATGTTGTCCCGACAAATAAATATCTTCATTATAGTTTTATGAGAGTCTCTTTTTTGATGCAGAAATAGTACCAAGAATCAATTAAAACAACAAGACATAAATGCTAAGATCTGACATATAGAAACATCACAACTTATTGTAATTGTGCTGCCAGGATATTTTTTTGTTCATATCTGTTTGACCGATCCAACCGCTGGAAAATAAGAGCCAAATGTTTAGGATTAAAGTTTAAAGGTTGAGCTAAATCAAACTATGAATGTCTACAGTGACCATTTTTATTAGAGTATTCGTGGAGTATTTGTTGCTGATTTGGTTCAGTTTTGAGAAAATTTGATTGTTCAAATCTATAAGAAATTTATGGATTGGTTTGATTTAAATTTTTTTTGATAAAATTTAAACTAAACCAAACAAAGAAATAACGGATTGATTTGAGTTTGATTGATTTGATGCATTAAAAACATGTGTAAAAAATTTTATTTTTTAAATATTTAATTTACGTCAACTAATTTTTTTTAGTAATATATAATTTTAAATTTTTTTCTTCGTATAGATTGTGAATATCACAAATGGCGTTTCATTTTTTATTTATTTTTAATTTGAACATTTTATATTAGTTTATGTACATTGCAGAAATAACAAGTCCTACCGAGTAGTGTAACCGGCAAAGAAAAAAGATAAATTAGTAGTCGCTTAGGGTGAGGGTTCTCGGGGTGTAACTCGACTAAGGGAGTATCAGACGACTCATGGACTTGGGTAGCAACTCGCCCTCATCCTCGACCCGGATAAAGTAGATAACTGGGTATCACCTGCCCATAATCGATCAACATCTCGGCTCATTAAAACCTGTAACCGTCGACGACACATTCATTGCTACGTTACACAATACTAATCATCTTCATTCACGGAGACGACGGTGGTTACGTAATTATGGAACTCAAGAGTCAATCATTAACTGAGGCTTTTGATAAAGCGAAGATACTCACTATATAAATGGGCTATCATCAGAGGGATAAGCAAGACATTCATCTTGGGATGCACACATCACTGTCGTGGCTCCCAAATCTCTCAATCATCTCATAAACTCACTCCAGTAGGCTCTCTCTATCAACTTCTTGGAAAGTCGGCCGGATATTTGTTCCAGACAAGAACATTGGCGCCTACCGTGGAGTCTTGGTAAAATTATTCCTAAGCCACACCTCAATTCACCTCCTGCAGAATGTCTTCGCCTGGAGACCCCCCCCCCCCCCCCACCCGACATGGCGCAGCTACTAGCCATGGTGAAAGCCCTCAGACAGCAGAACGAAACTCTACAGGACAGTGTCACAGACCTACAACAAAGAAGCGTAGGGGACGACTGTCTAGAAGAGGAGCTTTTTGAACCTCAACCTCTATCTCAAGCTATCTGGGACGATCAAGTCCTAGAGAACTTCAAATCATCATCATTAACGGTGTATGACGGAAAAACTGACCCTCAGGAGCACGTTATCACCATCAACAACCAAATGGAAATAATTGGCCCCACCGACTCATTGAAATGTAAACTGATGGTCGATAACTTTAAGGATGTGGCTCTGCGGTGTTACATGAGCCTACCACGACTATCCGCGGAAAGCTATGCGGACCCGAGGAAGAAATTAATCCAACACTTCTTTTCCAACAAGCACCGTAGTGTGTCCACGACCTCCCTGTTCAACGTCCGACAAGGTCAAGCGGAGTCTCTCCGGGAATACCTAGCCCGGTTCAACGAAGAGACCATCAAAGTATCTCACCCAAACCAAGAACTGTTTGTTGGGGCATTTCAACATGGCCTTCGAGTAGGACAGTTCAATGAATCCTTAGCACAGAAGCCTGTGTCCGACATGAACTAGATCATCACCAGGGCAGATTGCTATATAAAAGGCGAGGAGAGAACCTGGAAAAAAGGACTAGAGATGCCCCCTGAGAGAAACAAGACCAAAGAAGAAGGATAAGGAAGGAAACAAAAGTCCTCCCAAGCGAACTCAAGAGACAGGTCCCGAGAACGCATGACTCAGAGATCTAACATGTGTCCCTTGGATTCAGGTGACCTAGAGACACCTTTGAATACAAGGAGAGGCAAAATCCTGCAGGAGGTAACACACCTCAATCTGATCCCTAAAGCACACCGTAGATGGAAGGTCAATATCGGAAGCACACCGACGATTTCCCCCAACTGAAGAAAGAAACCGAGAAATTGATACATAGCGGGCACTTGCTTACTTATGTCAAAGATAGCAAAACCCCAACTGGTAAAAGAGATACTCGGCAAAAGGATACAGAACCAAAGGAACCTTCCTAGAAGAAGGGGAAAGGTCTTGAAGAAGTGCATGAGACCAAGACAACTTGCCACACGCTCAACACCATTACCGATGGACTCGCTGGCGGTGGCGAAACCAGCTCATCAAGAAATAAGTATGTCTGCACTGTGATGCATGTATCCGAGGACATAACCAAGGTCAGGGAACAATACCTCAACCCGATTAACTTCTCCAAGAGGGATGTGATCGACATTATGGCTCACGAAAACGATAATATGGTTATCAAAGTACAAATCCAGGACTGGATCATGAAAAGAGTACTAGAGGACCCTAGTAGCTCAGCCGATGTACTCTACTGGGAAGCCTTCAAGGGAATGGAGTTCGATACATCCGAGCTTCTACCTTTCACCAGAACCCTGGTCAAGTTTTCTGAAGAACAAGTACAAGTATTGGGTCATCTCTCGGTACTCACTACCTTCGGAAGGGGTGCGAATGCCAAAAGTGTCAGAGTAAGATACTTGATCGTCAATGCTTCCTCACCCTACCATGTCATCATAGGGAGGCCTTCCTTTAATGCCTTAGAGGCCGCTCTATCCACTTTGTACCTCACTATGAAATATTTCCTGGGGAACTTCCGGGTCTGGGTGGTCAAAAGCGACCAGGGATTAGCCAGGAAATGCTATAAGGATAGCCTAAAGTTAAAAAAGATATGGTCCAAAGGGCCCGGACGATCCAATGAGCTAAAAATCAACATGATTGACATAGACCCTTGAGATGATATACGTGAAGAAAGCCTTTCCCCTCATGATGAAAAAATAGGGTCCAAATCAGCACTGCACCCTCCGAGATAACTTATATAGGATGCAATCTTTCACGAGAAGAAGAAACAGAGATCATGGAGCTATTGAAAGAAAACATAGACTTGTTTGCTTTGAAGCCTTCAGATATGCCTGGGATAGACCCCAACTTCATGTGCCACCACCTAGACTTGAATCCATATACAAAACCGGTATCTTAGAGGAAAAGTAAAGGGGGAGAAGAGAAGAAGAAGACCATAAAAAACAAGGTCAAGAAGTTACTTGATGTCGGCTTCATCAAAGAGGTCAAATATCCTACCTGGCTGGCTGTTGTACCCCAAAATTTGCCCTCCCATATTCTTCAAGAAATTGCCAAGTCAAGTCACAAAATGCCCCAAGGGTTGCACAGTCAAAGGTCTCCTATACAGTCAAAACTAGGGTTTGTGTTCTGGTCAAGAAAATGAAGTTTCCAAAGGTCCAATCAAGTCTCACATGCTTACAAATATGGTCAAGTATCCTCATATCAAGTTCCAAGGCATTCAGTACAAAATTGCACAGTCAAAAACCCTAATTGCACTACAGTCAACTGTAGGGGCAAAATGGTCATTTGACAGTCAAAAGTTCAAATTTTTGGTCAATATATCATTTTGAAGCTACAAACATCATTTGATCAATGCTTGATCATGATTCTCAAAGTTTGGCTCAGAAATCATCAAGATTGCAAAAGTTTCCTTATTTGGACAGCTGAAAAAGTCAACTGAAATTGACCAGGGCATAACTTTCACATGGATTATCAGAAAAATCCCATCCAAAGCTCATTTTGAAGAGAAAGACATTTCCTACAACTCATATTCATACTTCAAGTCCAAGAAATGCTCTCACAAAAAGTTATCAATTTCAACATTATAGGTCATTTTCAAAAGTCAACAAAAAGGGACTTTAAGTCAAAGACCATAACTTGAGATTGGTAAATCAAAATGACATGGGACCAAAGGCATTGGTTAGAGGACTCAAAGACCTTTCCAAAATGTCCAAGAACATGAGAAAAGCTTAAAACTTGAGCAAGTTATGCCTTGTGGAAGTTGGGAAATTTTTGGATATTTTGAAAAGTCAACATTGATGCAAATGACCTAAAATTGCTAATGGGCCCATTTTTCTTCCACCATTCATCATTCCAAGCATGTGCACGACCACTTGGCCCAAAGGGAAGTATTTTCTCATTTTTTATTTATTTATTTGAATTTTTATTTATATTAATTCATTTAAATCATTTAAATATATGAAAAATATTTAATTCACCCTAACCAATCTTTTTATACATGTTTTAGCCTCAAGATTTCGTGCATATGCAAATGTGGAAATATTTGGAGTGATTTGATCTTAATTGGTACAAAAACATATGAAAAATATTTGAAAAAGATCTTGCAAATCAAATCTTTCAAAGTCATGGATGCTAAGCCTTTTGGATCAGATTTCTTAACCTAATTGTTCCTACATATACAAGAAACACAACCCTAATGCAAATACACGCACAGCTGCTCAGAATACTCCATTGATAACCTAAAATTTTCTCAAAAAAGTCAATACTGAAAACCACTTTTGAGGGCGATTCAAAGGATAATTCTTGTTCCATTAGTTTCCTCAAGGTCCCCTGAACGATTCTCAATCAAAAACACTCATCAAAGCCCAAGGAATTGGTATACAG